AGGAGGAGGAGGAGGAGGAGTAGTAGTAGTAGTAGTAGTAGTAGTAGTAGTAGTAGTAGTAGTAGTAGTAGTAGTAGTAGTAACAAACAAAAACCTCGTTCATTTCCTTCATTAGAAGACTAAGAGGAGCTCAGTCACGACCTTTTGTTTTTGTTTTCAGGGACATGTCAAACAACGAACTACGACTGATTGCAAGTTCCGATTTTACGGGTCTAAGCAAACTACTTGTTCTGTAAGACTCGGAAATTCACTCATTTTTTTTTGTCAATGAAACATGCTTTTGCATGACAAAAAAAATCACCTTTTACTTGCAGGATTCTTGCAAACAACAAGATTGAAAGGGTGGAAAATAGGAGTTTTGCCAGTCTAACATCACTTAGTGAACTGTAAGTGTGCACTGAATAAAGCTATTACGCACTGCCTTGGGACAATACTGGGTTTTAATTTCCTGTTATGCTGGTGACTAAATTTTTACAGTTGACATAATCAGCGATGCTACAGAGTTTCTACAGACCTCTGATTTAAGGTAAGGGGACACCCCTCCCTTCCCCTCACTACACCATCAAAATTACCAACCCCATTAAGGCAAACTACAGGCGGTCCAGACTTTATGGGAGTTTTTTGGACTTGAATTTTATAAGAGAATGTCCATAATAAATAAAATACGTTCTTAACTCCACTGAGGAAATTGAAATAGCAATGACTCACCTTGCGTTTGTGTTTCTCTCTGTCTGTTCGTTTCTGGACCCATCTAGAAGCCGTTTTATCGAGTTTTAGGTTTTTGGTGGTACTAAAAAGTTTCTTATTGTTAGTACAACTATCTTCTTTAATTTAATATTCCTATCCTTAACTGCATAAGGACTGGTCACGACACAGTACGTAATTTCCAAGTTGCTATTGGCATTATGAACCCTTTTAAGAGGTGATGGAGACGATAGGAGGAACTAGCTTGGCACTGCTATATAAACTGCAAGATTTTCAGGGATCAACATGTAAAAAGCAGCGTTAAAAGTACATGAACTATATTGAGCTTCGTGAAGTTAAACCGTTACTCCTGACAGAAAAGTTTGGGCAACTGCAGACCTGAACTCCTTACCAGTCCTCTCTCCAAATAAATAAAACTCGTTATCTTGCTGCTTCAAGAGAGGGGTATAACTTCGGAAGTTTGTCGTGACAACTGGTGCTTTCTTATCTGCAGTGATTTGTCCAAAAACCGTTTACGACAGGTGAATAGGGAAACGTTCCATGGACTAACCCTCCTTACCTATTTGTAAGTGGCCTATAGATACTGCAATATTAAAACAGACACAAATTACCCCAGTAACAAGGGGTGCGCTTACAGAATTCCTCTTAATTTGCAACCTGTGCAAACAGTTAACAGGAATCCTAATTCTCAAAGAGACTTATCCCAGGGAGCATCACCGATCGAGCACTGCATGATTAACCCACTGCTATAATTACATGAAGATGTACCAACACATAGTTACCTTTCTACCCAGACATGTCGGGCATTATACGTTTCTGGGAAACTGCCCAACTACCCCTCCCCTAAGCCAACATTAACACCTACTTCTCACTTAGGGAAAAATGTTGGCTTAGGGGAGGGGTAGGTAGGAAGTTTCCCAGAAACGTATAATGATTCAACATACCGTAAAATTCCGAAAATAAGCCCCTCCATGTATAAGCCCCTCCAAAAATAAGCCCCCCCCCCCCCCCCCCACACCCCCCCCAAAAAAAAACACCCTCTTACGCCCCCCCCCCAAAAAAAACCCCCCGGGGCCGGGGACGGGAGGAGAGAGACACCGCAACCACCCACAACACACACTCCCCCCCCCCCCCCCAAACCGGTTACGCAAAAAACCTTCCGTTAAGTCGCCCCTCCAAATATAAGCCTCGCGGGGGCTTGTACTTGGAAAATTGCCCTCAAATACAAAGTAAAACAAAGCAAAAACGGTAAAATTACTTCCAACAATAAGGCTAGCCCAATCGATTTTGAAACGCAAATTTCCCTCCTTAGATAAGCCCCTCCGAATGTAAGCCCCTCCAAAAATAAGCCCCTCTAAAAGGACCTTTGAAAAATATAAGCCCCAGGGCTTATTTTCGGAATTTCACGGTATCTTTCTTTCCAACTGAGTGGACTAGAGTCAGCAGGGCCAAGAAAACTTGGCCATTCCCTTTGTTACCTAAATTAAGGTCAGGCCCCGGGTCCTCAAACGCTGGATAGCGCTATTTATCAACCCGATAATCCAATATCCAGAAGATAAGTATTGGGGAAACCAATATCTTATGGATAAAGATCTACCCAGTAGATAACGTTACTATCTACCTTTTGAACAAATGAGGCCTGGATGTGTCGGATTTTTTTTTTTTAATTTTTTTATATATTTTCTTTTTCAGGAAATTAGGAGAGAATCTTATTCAAGTGATTGATGCTACTACTTTTAGAGATAGTTTTTTCTTATTTCGAATGTAAGTTATTTTTTTCATTGTCAGACGACAACCTAGGGCTGACCAAGTGATAGCAACGCGAAAATTGGAAATTATTCCATGCGCGTTGATCTCAGTTTCTTTTGCTTTTTAGAGATTTGAGGAAAAACAACATCAGCAAGATGGATAAACAGCCTTTCCGGACGCTGATGTTTCTTCAATCTTTGTAAGAGGATTCAACTTTTTTTATAGGCCATGTCCACACAACGTTTTCGGGAAAACTCTGCTCTTGGTGTTATCCTTGAAAAGACTTTGAAACCTCTGGTTCAATGCACACTAGCGTAATTGCATCGTTTTCGAACGTCTTGATTAAGCCATCGAAAGGGCCCATCTAGTGGTACCTTTTCGTTCCCAGGCTATTCTCGGACGTGCTGTTTTCAATTCGCACATTGTTACTTTATTATAAGCAAACCCGGATCTTGAATGAATGTTCCACCTTGAACATCCGAGGGCTGAGACATATAGAATGATTCAGGACTGTAGGAGTTAGATAAGGAAGTGAAGGGCATGCCACTGTGAAAGGCATACGGGCTAGAGCGCAGGAGCAACCTTTTCCGAAAAACAAAACAAGGCAACAACAGAACTGAAAAAAAAAAACAGAAAAATATTCAAATTGACTTAAGCCATTGGTGAATTTCAATTTTGGTAATGTTGAATTCATTTTTATCAAAATTCCCTTTAATCCTGTTTAGGAATCTTGATGGAAATGAATTACAGCATGTTCAGTTACAGGCTAGCATGATTCATCTTTCAGTCTTGTAAGTAACCAAAAGACATTGCAGTTCATTATTTACCTTAAATTTATTTAACA